CGGCTTGTGCCTCCCAGTTCTTCTTCTCCTTCTCCAACCTCTCTTCTAATTTCACAGAAAGCTCTGTCTCCATTTTTTCAGAAAGCCCTCCTAATTTTCTCTCCCACTCTTGTTCCATCCTTTTCCACTGCTCCTCCATCCACTCCTCCCTACCAGAACCATTCTCATCTGATCCCTGGTTCCTGCGAGTCCCCACCATTTTTTTTAAGAGAAAAGAGAGAGAGAGAGAGAGAAAGAGAGAGAAGGGAAAGATAGGAGAGAGGCAGAGAGTGAGAAGGGAAAAGGGAGAGAGGGGAAGAGTGAGAAGGGAAAAGGGAGGAGAGAGAGAGAGAGAGAGAGAGAGAGAGAGAGAGAGAGAGAGAGGAGAGAGGGAGAGAGGGCAAAGAGAGGGGAGGAGAAGGGGAGAGACAGGGAAGAAGGGGAGAGAGGGGGAGGATGGAAGAAGAGAGAGGGGAGAGAGGGATAGGGGGAGATAGAGGGGAGAGAGAGAGAGAGATGGGAAATGGGAGAGGGGAGAGATAGTGAGAGGGGTAGAGATGTTAGAGGGGGAGAGACGTTAGATGGGGGTGTTAGAGGAAGAGTTGTTATAGGGGAGAGATGGGAGAACGGAGAGTTGGGAGAGGGAAGAGGGGAAGATAGGCAAAGGAGAGATAGGTAGAGAGAGAGATAGGTAGTGAGAGATATAGGTAGAGAGAGATAGGTAGAGAGAGGTATAGGTAGAGAGAGGTATAGGTAGAGAGAGGTATAGATAGAGGTAGTGAGAGAGATAGGTAGAGAGGGAGAGAGATAGATAGAGGTAGAGAGAGAAACAGGTACTGAGAGATAGGTAGAGAGAGATGGGTAAAGAGAGATAGAGAGATAGGTATTGAGAGAGAAAGAGAGAGAGAAAGAGAGGGAGGGATTTGTGTGTGTGTGTGCGCGTGTGTATGTATGTGTGCCCCCACTTCTAAGTATTCATACTGCTAATAAATATCAGTAGTAATACCAGTACAGTATTTCTAAAACTACCAACAGTGATTCTAGCACTTATAACTTCTACTTATAAAACACAGAAAGTAACTAGGTTGTAAAATTTAGCTTGTCTCAGCTTCTAGGAGTGTCTGACATCACCCTCGCCAGGCTTCCCCTCGCTAGTCAACATTGTCTTCACCTTATCTATGCTATTTCTGCTCTAATTCTGGTAATAGCTTGCAGGAGTGAGTGACCAGTATCTACAGTGACACAAGGCCAGGATTCAGAACCCCACAACAACCCCAACAGGTGAGTGATACTTGCGATGGCAGTGGTGCGATGACAAGTTGCCAGATGCTGATGACGTAGTCGTCATACATACGCCTTCTATCACTATTTTGAAAATTCTTCACCCGTGATGTTTATAACCATATATGCTCATACATCCCGCGCCCCTCAAGAGATTTCACTTATGATAGAATACACTTCACTTATAATAGAATACACTTCACATTCGGTGTTACACTTTATATGTATAATGTGACACAACTGTTGTGACGTCACTGTTTCAGCAGGCCTACTGCCACCTTCCCTTGTTATATATTTTATTTTTTCCTTTCTACTTTTGCTTATTAGCCTTTTCACTCTCACTGTATGGTGCCCCACATTTCACTTGTTATCCAATCTCTCGAAATTCTTGAACACCCGCTTCCACACTCACTTGAATCTTTGTATATTTGAATCTGTGTAGCAACAGAAGCTTACTAGCCACTAACGGTTTGACACTTTGAAATATTAAAGATTTCAGGCTTCCCCTCGACTTTTTTTTAACTAATAACTCTGGTTATCACTCGTAGTATTGTTCACTGACGTTGTCACTACCACTGATTACTGCTAGCAGATACTGCATGCCTTAGAAACACTAAAGTTCTCGGAGCCTTGTCACCCACGTCTGCTGACTGTGTGTGTGTGTGTGTGTGTGTGTGTGTGTGTGTGTGTGTGTGTGTGTGTGTCTGTGTGTGTTTGTGTGTTGTGTGTGTGTGTGTGTGTGTGTGTGTGTGTGTCTTTGTGACTTTGTGTGTGTGTACTCACCTAACTGCACTCACCTAATTGTGGTTGCAGTGGTCGAGTCATAGTTCCTGGCTCCTTCCTCTTCACTGGTCGCTACTAGGTCTACTCTCTCTCTTTTCCATAAGCTTTTAATACTTCTTCTTAAAGCGTAAGAATTCTGCCTTCACTACATCACTCTCCAAATTGTTCCACTTTCTGACAACTCTATGGATGAACAAATATTTCCTAACATCCCTGTGACTCATCTGAGTTTTCAACTGTGTGTCACATCTCTGAAGCATTCTGTCCATATCCATCCTGTCAATTCATCTCAGTATTTCATGTTATCATGTCAAGCCCATGATTATTCTCTTCAAATTGCTTGTTCTCTCTAGGCTGGTATACTGCTGTACACTAATTGCTCCCATCAAGGCATTCGAAATTGCTGTCCTAGAGAATGTAGAGAGAACTTTCACGACACACATAAATACGATAAAGCACCTAAATTATTGGGAACGGTTGAAGTCCCTTGATCTGTATTCCCTGGAACGCAGGCGAGAAAGATACACGATAATATACACACGGAAAATCCTAGAGGGATTAGTCACCAAACTTGCACACGAAAATCACTCCATACGAAAGCAAAAGTCAACACAATAAGTGTCAGGGGCCCAAGACTGTTCAACTGCCTCCCAGTATAAGGGGATTACCAAAAGACCCCTGGCTGTCATCAAGAAGGTGCTGGACAGGCACCTAAAGTTAGTGTACTTGATCAGCCAGACTGTGGTTCGTACGTCGATTTAAGTGAGGCCAGCAGTAATAGCCTCATCGATCAGACCCTGATCCACCACGAGGCCTAGTTTCAGACCGGGCTGTGGAGGCGTTGACTGCCGAACCCCTCTTCAGGTATACTCCAGGTATGTCCCCCTATCCCTCCTGTCTTCCAGTATTGTCAGGTTGAGTTTCGTTAACCTCTCCTCGTAGGACAAACCCCCTCAGTTCGTGACTAGTCTTGCTGCAAACATTTGCACTTAAAATAATTTCTTAATGTGTTTGACCAGGTGTGGATTCCATACTGTGCTTCATACTCCAACGTGGGCCTGACTTACACGGTGTACAGTGTCGTGAATGACTCCTTCCTTAGATGTGTGTGTGTACTCACCTCTTGTACTCACTATTGGTGCTGGGATGGTGTCTGGCCCACCTATTTGTACTATCTACTTTCCCCTGCTTGTTTCAGAATCGTAAACATAGGTTCCTGGCCCCACCTCTTCATGAATCCACTTCGGCCTTATCTTTCCTCCTCTCTCATTGACTATATGATCATACTTCCATTGATAATCTGTGTTATGGATTTCCTGCTTTCCACTTCGTCACTTTTCCAGATTGATTCATATTTCCACTACCCTCTTTCAGTGACTAAAGGAATTCTCCTAACATTCTTTGACATCTAGACGTCTTGTTGCAAATTGTCCCTTTCTCTAGTTCTTGACTCTGAAATCCAGTCTTGAGTCTACCTTGTCATATCTCCAGTATGCTTGACGTACATGTATAGTCACTGAACCCTGCTTAGTCCTTCCAGTTGGTCGTTCAGAGGCTTGTTTCCTTAGCTTTTATGTAGGAATTCCTAAGACGTTTAGTGTGTTGCTAGATCTTTGCACTTTATCTGGTTTGTCTTGACGTTTGAAGGGTGTGCGGTTTATCTAAGGTGTGTTGCTGGTTCTAGTCTTTGAAGTGGGTTGACGTACTAGATCTTTGAAGGTGTGTTGCTGGTTCTTAGTCTTTGCATGTTGTGGTTGCTGGTTCTTAGTCTTTGAAGGTGTGGTTGCTGGTTCTTGGTTTTTTACAGGTTGTAGTTCGTGGCTCTTGGTCTTTGCAAGTCGTGATTTTTGGTTCTTGGTGTATGCAGGTTGTGGTTGTCTGGTTCTTGATCTTCACAGTTTGTGGTTGCTGGTGGCAACATTAGGTAATGGTGGTTGATGGTCTCATTAACAGGTTGTGGTTACTGGTGTCACTAGTAACTGATGGTCGTTGCTACCGCAATATAAAAATGCTTCAATAGTAAAAAAAAAAAAAAAAAACGTGAAAAATATTAAACACGGAAGATTTTTCGGTTAAATGAATATTGAGATGTGGAACTTTTTATTTCATAAAATGCCGTTCAAATAGCAAATTAGATTAAAGTTTAGGATATTTTATGTAATTCTTTATGTATGTAATTCAATTTAGCGCACACACACACACACACACACACACACACACACACACACACACACACACACACGCACAAACTGTCAGTGATGGCAATGGCGTAGCCTGGAGAGCGAAACGTTGCCATAATAAAATGTCACAGTTGCACATGTGTCATTTTACCTGACATGAGTCAGGCTGCGGTAGCTGTGTCAGCCCCTAACCGATACAGCTTGGTTGAACAAGTAATGAACGAGGAAGCTTGGTCTCTGGCTCTGCAGCTGTGGTAGAAAAGTCCTCGAGACAGGTCATAGGTATATCACAGTACACTGTATATCTAAATCACTTTCACGATACAACATTGAGCTCTTTCAGGATCTCACTTTTCTATCACACTTCAATGGACACTCTCAATATCACTGTTTTCTCTTCTCTAACTTTTAACCTTTTTCAGCTGTTCCCTGATTGGTGACTTTCCAATTTACCATACGACTGAATTTCTTCTGGCCTAAAGTACTGCAATATCTTCCAGCGTAATTCATTTTCAGAGCATTCTACAGCTGCTCTGACAAACTGACTGGCTAGCAACTGTTAACCACGCAAACGTTAATCACTCCAGCATCCAGTCACATTACAACAGAGCACAAACCAACCACTTCTCTAGCATCAAGTGCCACAGTTTAAGATCTTTGTACGGGGACGTCTCAGTGCAATAAAATGAAAGAATCAAATGTGTTATAGATATGTTACTCGTATCCTTCTATCTTCTTCCCTCTTTCCCTGTAAGTCCCAGCTGAATTCTCACTCACCACCTGAGAGATGTTCTTCGGGTTGAACAAGACGGTGACACTATAGACGTAGGATCTGCCTCCCTCCGTCATCGTCTTGAGAAGGTCCGTGGCAAGCCACTTGGTATGAAAGAAATCCTTATTTTGCAGATAACCATAACACAGGGCACACGAGTCGGCCGAGAAGAACTCCGGAGGCAAGTAGTTCTCCTGAGGTGGTAGGAGATATGAGAGGCTCTTAGTATACATGTATTGATGAGAGAGAGGGAGAGAAAGAGACAGACCAGACAGACAGGCAAACACCCACCCACTCACCCACACCCTTCACAGCCCTCATCCCATGGAGCCAGCTTTTTTTAGAATTTAGGATAAGAGAGAGAGAGAGGGACATAAAAAAGGGGGGAAGGGCATTAGACTAGCGAGAGGGGTGGAGAGCCACACAAGACAAATCCAATACCCACAACCTTCTACCCAAAAACCACTTAAAATAGTTGTTTACATGTAACAGAATCTGATACTTCAGAAAAGTGGTGCTGTCCTATTCTATATTGTTAAATAGTTGGAACAAAAGCTAGCTGTGTTTCCATGTCACATTCTCTCACATTGGATATGTATCATAATTAAAGTGTTGAAATCTGTCTGATATCTATCAAGACACAGACGGACAACACTGGTTATATAGGAGAAAAATGATAAACGATGTGGGTAACATGAATTACGTTATATATCAAGAGTATAGAGACTGAAAAACAATGTAAATTAATTTATGCAATTACCCTGGACCTGCACAGAGGTCGGCCTGCCTTCTGCAGGTCCTCAGCGTTGAAGATTTGTCTTATTTGAAGGTTTACGTCTTCTGTGACTGTGTTATCTTCTGCTTCTTCAGTGGCGGTATCTGGTGCTCCGATGTCAACGACAGCAGATGGAGTTATCAGCACTGCTTCACCATCTACCTGGATAGCATCCGATTTGTTTTGCTTGCCACCTCCTCTATTACGCCTGGTTAAGTCTTCTTCCCTCTCCTCACGGGACCTGGGGAGCAGTACTGTCGCCCCAGGATGTGAAACTCTATTATCATATTCTTTATACAACGTATGTTGCGCTTCGGATAAACTGAAGTCTTGATAGTCGCTCAGGATGTACCGTTTCCTTGTCCCCGCCTTCATGAGCTCGTGAAGGCTGTCATGCGGGTACTCCTGATTGTACCTGCCCTGGAACCATGAATGACTGTCATTCCTTCTTAAATCCCCAGCAGATTGATGGCTCCTATTGAGCACTTCTTGTGTAGCTGTAGAAAATCTGCTTCCCTCAGTAACTGTCCACAACAGCATCATCTGCAGAAGAAACAACTCATGCTACATTCAGCTTTCTTAGTCCTACACTCTGTACAGTTACAATACCTAAAGAATAATTTTGAGTTTAATAATAGGCATAATGATCATATTAGTCAACTTCGACTATACAACCTTGTTCACTTAGATCAATATATAAAAGAACTTTTAGTTTTTATATATTGATGTGTTTGTGATCATTAAAGTAATTCAGCTTTGTACTTTTGAAAGGAAATTAAAGTTTAATAAGTATTCTGAATCAAAAAAAAAAAAACTGTATTCATGAGCAAATTTCTATGTTTAATGTTATTATGGAAGAGAAAGAGGAAAATACCGTCAGGAATATAAAACCATTCAGGCAGAACTAGTATAATAATATTAATAAAAATTCTCATAAATTATACAATAAGAATTCTTTTAGATCACACGGTACCGACACAAATTCTGAATATTTCTAACATGCATATCAACCAACTAATTCAGCTACAGGAAATGAAGCAAAATGTGTAAATTATTCTTTATACTGACATTTCTCTGTTGAACGTAAAATTAAGAGTATACATCTAGGATGATGTGTTAGATAATGAGAAGTAGTGTTCTCTTCTTTAACCCAACATGATTAGTAAAGAATTGACGATTGCCATTTTTCCCACTCAACAACTGCTAAAGATATCAAGGGATTCTCTAAAGATTTTGATGAGGTTGACTTTTGGACAAACTGGGAGGGTCTTAAAAATGTGGATTTTGGAAAATAAAGGGGAAAGTTAGATATGGTTATGAGAGCTTGGCCTTACTTGTGTGATGGGAAAAAAATCAAACATACGGAAGAGAATCGGCTGTCTTTTAACTTTCAAAGGTGTAGTTAAAGGAGGATAGGTGAATCTCCTTATATCAATAACATTATTAACATTACTCCTTGAGAGTCGAAATTGGAACCAGTGAAACTGTGAGTGATTATGCTGTACCTGGAGGGTATTTCAGTGGTCAGTTATAAAAAAAAACAGATCTCTAGAATAGCAATATGCAAATACACATTAACACACACATTACATATCATATATATATATATATATATATATATATATATATATATATATATATAATATATATATATATATATATATATATATATATTAACACATCGGCCGATTCTCACCAAGGCAGGGTGGCCCGAAAAAGAAAAGAAAAACTTTCATCATCATTCACTCCATCACTGTCTTGCCAGAGGGTTGCTGTACACTACAGTTTATAAGACTGGAACATTAACACCCCTCCTTCAGAGTGCAGACTCCAGGACTCAATCCCTTCATAAATGTTACTTTGTTCGCACTCCAACAGCTCGTCAAGTATAAAAAACCATTTGTCTCCATTTGCTCCTGTCTAACACGCTCATGCACGCTTGCTGAAAGTCCAAGCCCCTCGCACACAAAACCTCCTTTATCCCCTGCCTCCAAAATTTCCTAGGCCAACCCCTATCCCACCTTCCCTCCACTACAGTTTTATATACTCTCAAAGTCATTCTATTTTGTTCCATGCTCTCTACATGTCCAAACCATCTCAATAACCCCTCCTCAGCCCTCTGGACAACAGTTTTGGCAATATTTCACCTCCTCCTAACTTCCAAACTACGAATTCTCTGCATTATATTCACACCACACATTGCCCTCAGACATGAGATCTCCACTGCCTCCAGCCTTCTCCTCACTGCAACATTCATCACCCATGCTTCACACCCATATAAGAGCGTTGGTAAAACTATACTCTCACATTCATATTTCTTCATATTTCATATTCAACACACCGGCCGTATCCCACCGAGGCTTGGCCAGGACTCGATCCTGCGTTCCCATGCCCAGTCCTGTGTGAACTGAACAAAGTACGTTACCCTCAATGAAATCAGTTAGCCTGACTTGAGTCTTGGAGGTGGGTAATGCAGTGTCTTCACTCTGAAGGAGAGGTGGAGACACCGCAGCTCAGAATGTCGTATGAATTATAATTTCTGCACTCTTCTGACGATAGCTATTGAAAGAGTATTGGTGACTGTGTTTCTTGTTTTGGGTCGCTTTATGTTGGTGGGAGATGATCGGTGTGTTAAAAAAAAATTTAAATAATAACAACGTTACACCAGCGATCGTTCAGTGTTACACGTAGCTCTCTCTAACTAAGTACAGTGACGTTGTAGCCAGCTCCACCGTGGCCAGCTCCATCGTGGCCAGTTCTACCGAGGCCAGTTGCACCGTGGCCAGCTTCATATTGGTGAGCTCCACAGTGGCCAGCTCCACAGTGGTGAGCTCCACAGTAGCTAGCTCCAGGATCCTGGATACACTGGCCAACACAATGAAGGAGTTGACGTTTATGGTGTAATTTGTGACTTCCCAGTAGTAGCATATAACGACGAATGGAAACTTTCTTAATGGTCCTTTGGGACAATAAAATAAACTAAGAAAATTTGACTTATTTGAGGTCTTTGTTATTTTGCATAATAAAATGACATTTATTATGTCAAGGAAATGTTTGTGTAAGGTTGAAATAAACATTATATTAGAAAATTTTTTTTTTTTGGAGTAATTTTAAACTATAGCAGAAAGCCTTGATATAAGGAAAAGTTATCGTATCTTTTGAGAATTTATCGAGACACAAGTTATCTTCCTTATTTTTTTTGCATAATAATTAATTAGTGTACAGTGCTTCCAAAGTGGAAAATAATACCATATGAAAAGTTTATATAGTTTTTAGTCACTTGAGTTTTTTGTTTTAAAAATTTAAATAATGGAACCATAGGTGAGAGGAAGAGTCTGAAAATATATGACTTAAATGATACATTTTATTAGCAACTTATACGAGATAAACCATACCACGGGTGGGGTTTGATCCCGCGGTCAGAGACTCTCTGACCGCGGGATCAAACCCCACCCGTGGTATGGTTTGTTTACAATCGTGTCATTACGATTTCGTGAGTCAAGTTATACGAGACGCAAAAGTGATGATTTAATTTTTTTTAAAGAAAATAATGTTACAAAAACTTACACATATAATAAATACGAACACACAAACTCTCTCTCTCTCTCTCTCTCTCTCTCTCTCTCTCTCTCTCTCTCTCTCTCTCTCTCTCTCTCTCTCTCTTTTTGTTTTACACAGGGTTTGATAAGGTTAAGTTAAGGATACGTAGCTATCTCTCTCTCTCTCTCTCTCTCTCTCTGTCACTCCCACACATCCTCTGTGGCACACATCAACCGAATAATTGATGCAGCAAATGTGCGTCTCACAAATCTAAGAATAGTTTTTCGAGGTCTAAGTAAAGTCTCATTCAGTACTAGTCCCGGAGCTCAGGGTTACGTCCTATAAGAAGAGCTTAAGGGAACTCAACCTGATGAAACTGGAGGACACGAGGACTAGGGGGAATAAGATAACGACGTACTAATACAAAGAGGAATTGACATGGTGAACAGGGACAGAATATTTTGGGGAGGGAAACAGGAACAAGAGACACATCTGGAAGTTGGAAACTCAAATGAGTCATAGAGATGTTAGGATATATTTCTTCACCCATAGAAATGTCACAAACTGGAATTATCTGGAGAGTGTCCTGGAAGAGGCAGGATCAATGCATAGGTTTAAGAACAAATATAATGCTCTTGAATGCGAGAGAGTGGATCTAGAAGCGATCAGCGAACACGCGGAGCCAGCAGCAATCACATATAGATGAGCACATATAGGTATGTACACACAAACCCATTAACAAATATTCCTTTGAAGATTTGTGAGTAAACTCGTGAAAGCGTTCAGATTTCTTTCTTATTTTCTCACTGTGGTATGTTTTTATATTTGCAGTCACGCATTTTATTGGGAATTCTTTACTCTCTTTTGACAATCCAACACTCAATGAATATGACTCACTCCTGAGATCAATCTTTAAGAAGACACTAAATCTGTCACCGGAAGATCAGCAATGGGATCAGGCAACCCTCCCAGTGCGACTGGGAGGTGTAGGGGTGCGCAAGGCAACGCAGGTAGCTTTACCTGCATTTCTGTCTTCGTGTTTGGCTTCCAGTAAACTAATCAAGGAGATTGTCGCCAAGCTCTTAAGAAGTGCGTAGGAGCTCAAGGCCCCAGGTTCACTGAAAATCCAGGCGGTGGGACACCCTTGCAGACTCCTCCAACAGACTAGCTCACCCAAAGGAGCACAAAAGATTCCACTGGGACAAACCGATCATGGAAAGGACAAAGCTCGTCTCCTAGCGGTGAAGGCACCACATTCAGGATATTTCCTTTTAGCTGTTCTCATTTCCTCTCTGGGCTCTCGACTCTATTCATAGACCATTCGAATTGGTGTTGCTCTTCGCCTAATCGCCCCCATACTCACCAAACATAGGAGTATTTGCGGCAGGGCGACGGGTGATCAATTCGGACTTCATGGTCTTTTTGTGTCACACATCAAAAGGGAAGTATGCTAGATATGAGGAGGTCAACGACATCATAAAGAGAAGGCTCGCCACAGCCAGTTGCCCAGCTCAATGGGAACGCCAAGTACAGAGATCTGACGGAAGTCAAAAGCGTCCTGATGGAGCCACTATTCTACCCTGGAAGGATGGTAAGCAGATTGCCTGGGACTACACCTGTGCCGCCACACTAGCAGTGACCTACTCTGAAGCTGAAGGGAATGAAACCGCCAGCTACAGGGAGATCCAGAAGACCCGGAAATATGAAGCCTTCCCCCTTGCTTTAACTTAATCCCTTAAATGCTGAAAAATTTTTCAAAGAAATGTTGAGTTATCTTGTTAAGGAAAATAAGAGTATTAGTTTTTAACAGTATCTTAAAGTTCCTTGTTATAAGTGAGCTATAAATTATAAATACTTTATAAGATATGCACCTGCTAACCCTTTTAAGGCCTAGTCGCTTGGCCTTTTGATTAAATATACAGTGGCAAAACTTGGCTATATTTACTTCGAAGAAGTTGCGCCTGTGACTTTATCAGTACGATAGAAATCATATTAATCAGAGA